AGAGAGAGAGAGAGAGAGAGAGAGAGAGAGAGAGAGAGAATTTCTGTTTCTGCTCCCATATATCTAACTCATATATATAATATATGCTGCATTGTTTTACATCCAGAATAATATATTTCAAGGACTTTGAAACACTTGAATATGAGTTCTGTTCCAAAAAAACAATGAAATGCACAATTAGAGAGCTAGGTTTGGCCATATTGATCTCAAGACAGAGACCATCAATAAATGAGAAATGAAATTCGAATATTTTGGCACTAATATAGAAGAGGGAATATTCTTATTGTATGTTCCTCAGGGGCAGTGAGGATAAACTGGTTTTCAAATTATCATATCAAATTAAAAATACTGGTAGTCGTCAACCTGAATTAAGGGTCACACATGTTTTCAAATTTATTTATTTATTTTTATAAATTTAGACTCGATTTTATCTTTCTTCCTGTTCTGAAGGAGAGAGACAATGTGATGAAGAGATGAAGCTGTTGGACTGGGATGGGGAAACCCAGATTCTAATCTACCTATGGACGCAACCTGGGGGAATTGGGGCCTGTTGTGATCTCTCAAGCCAACCTACCTCACAGGGTTGTTGCTGTGGGTGTCTGTGTATGTCACACTGAGATATTTATATAACGATCCTGAAAATGTCATGTTCACCTTCTCCATCAGAGAAGACTTATGTTAAAAAACCTGGAAACAGTTTGCAGTTCAGAATTGCTTTACACTTAATGAAATACATATTCCTTTGCTTTCAGGTAGACTTACTTCCAGGACTATGGAATAAATTATTGGTGCTGACTCCACATTTAACAAGGATTAATTTAATTAATCCAGGTCTAATCCACTTACTTCCCAGTAGACATTATCTTCAAAGCAGTTTTCATCTGTAGGATCACCAAAAAAGGGCAGTTTCAAAATGCCACCTTAGGGGGAAAGAAAAATTGAATGCTAAATTCTCTTATGGTGCATTTTAATTTTTTTATTTAATTTTTTATTTTTCAACTGAGAAAGCCCTCTGTACCATGGCACAAATCACAAAAGAAAAAAAAAGTATGTTGGGGAAAACAAACATCCACCAAGATACACCCAACAATTAATGAGAACCAGAAAAAATTACTCTTAAGTTTGACATCAGGCGTTTGAAAGAGCTGCATAACTGGGAATATGAAAGAAACACATCCTATAATCCCCAAAAGACTGCAGGAATTTTCCATGTCAGTCTACAGTAGTTGAGCTACTCGGAAGTTGTGGGAGCGCCATCACTTGAGACTTTCAAGAAGAGATTGGACTGCCATTTGTCAGAAATGGTGTAGGGTCTCCCACTTGGGCAGGGGGGTTGGACTAGTTGACCTCCAAGGTCCCTTCCAACTCTGATTTCCTGTTATCTCTTATTATCTATTAGCTGTTAGCTCAGAGGGAAGATGATTTTACTTTTCTAATTTTTCTTCAACCGAAGCTTAACAAGCCAGAAGATGGCAGTAGGGAAACATCAGAGATGTAGGCGCTGGGTTGAGTCATAGAAAATTAGAGATAGATGACCAGGCAGAGATTTCACCTCTTGCTGGCGCACTATTAAGGAAAACAGCTGTTCTGCATCTGCATGAGGATTTTTCAGTTAGAACATAGAACAATAGGGTTGGGAGGGAACTTGGAGGACACTACCTCATTCTGGATAAATGACTATTCAACCTTTTCTTGAAGACCTCCAGTGCAGAGGTGGGTATTCAGCAGGTTCTGACCAGTTCTGGAGAACCAGTAGCGGAAATTTTGAGTAGTTCAAAGAACCGGCAAATCCCACCTCTGACTGGAGATTTTACAGTATCTTTCCCCTGCCACGCCCACCAAACCACACCCACAGAACCGATAGTGAAAATATTTGAATCCCACCACTGCTCCAGTGATTGAATGCCCACAACTTCTGAAGGCAAGCCATTCCACTGATTAATTGTTCTCACTATCAGGAAAATTATCCTTAGTTCTAGTTTGGGACCTCTCTTTGGTTAATTTTCATCTAATTTAAATCTTGGCTTTGCCTCGAATTATACGTGATGCAGAGAAAGACGCTCATCCATGTTCACCTTCAAGAAGGAGAGAATATACAAAAAAATGAGGCTAACTTCAGAATACAGAATATGATTTGGAAGGGACCTTGGAGGTCTTCTTGTCCAACCCACTGCTTGAGCAGGTGATCCTGTACCATTCCAGACGTTGTCCAATCTCTTCTTGAAAACCTCCAGTGTTAGAACACTGCAAGGCATTCCACTGGTTAATTGTTCTAACTGACAAGAAATTTCTCTTAGTTCTAGGTTAAGGTAAAGGTCCCCTTTGCACATACATGCTAGTCGTTTCCAACTCTAGGGGGTGGTGCTCATCTCCGTTACAAAGCTGAAGAGCCAGCCCTGTCCGAAGACATCTCCGTGGTCATGTGGCCGGCACGACTAAACGCCGAAGATGCACGGAACGCTGTTCCCTTCCCACCAAAGGGGTCCCTGTTTTTCTACTTGCATTTTTACCTGCTTTCAAACTGCTAGGTTGGCAGAAGCTGGGACAAGTAACGGGAGCTCATTCCATTACACAGCACTAGGGATTCAAACTGCCGACCTTTCTGATCGACAAGCTCAGCGTCTTAGCCAAGAAATCTAGGTTAGATTTCTCACTAATGAGCCTCCACTTACCTACAATAGATCCTCCCACAAAAGCCATAGCTAGTGATACTGCAATGCCAGCTGCTTGGAATCCCCCTTGGATACTAGGCGTTCGATCTCGGTATTCTCCGGTGAAGTCAAACATGTTGATGAGCCTGTGAGAATGAAGTGAAGTGGAAAAGAGGGGAAGGTGAGGATTTCCCTCCATATCAAGGACAATTGTAGTCTTTTTGGTTGAGATCATGAATAAGGGATGCAGTGGCTCAGTGGCCAAGACGCTGAGCTTGTGGCCAACTGGGTAGGCATGGCCAACTTGATGCCACTCCCCCAACTGCTGGTATGTTTCCTCTTTGCACTGGGTAGACCACGTCAAAGCCATGCAAACCAGCCACTTACATTTTCCAGGACAGCCCCACAGGCCAGATCTGACCACATTGTAGACTGGATACAGCCCGTGGACCTTGTCTTTGACACCCTTCCCAACATAGATGGCCTAAAGCACCTCACCCTTTCTTTCCATAGACTGTTTCTGTAGCAGCGGCAGCAGTGACGGCTCCCACGATGCCTCCAATTAAACCTGGCATTCCATGAAGGTTGTGGATGCCACAGGTATCTTGGATATGTAGCCTGGTATCTAGGAAAGGCTAAAAGGAAGGAAGGAAGGAAGGAAGGAAGGAAGGAAGGAAGGAAGGAAGGAAGGAAGGAAGGAAGGAAGGAAGGAAGGAA